CATTTTACTTAAAAATTAGTCAACGACTTCATTTAAAAAAAAAAAAAAAAACTACTACCTGTGACGTCATATAACGACAGGAAAATAATGAAAAAAAAAAAAAAAATTATGATTCATTATTTAATTTTTATGTTTAAAAAAGAAAAAAAATTATGAATACGTGACTCAAGTTTTTTTTTTCATTGTTTTCAACGAAAAAAAAAAATGTTTTTTTTAAATTTAAAATTTAAAAATTAGTTAATGACACGTTATTTTATAAATATTATGTATTGTTCTCCAGTGATAATTTTTTTTTTTTTTTTGGATAACTATCGTCCGAAATATCGACTCGTTATTTACTTAAATTATTATTATTATTATCATCATCGGTTTTGAATGAATGACATTTTGCGATTACTGTCCTCCTCCTCCTCCTCCTCCTCCTCTCCCTCCTCTCCCTTCCCCCAAAAAAAAATTATTTAAAAAAAATTTGAATGAATTAAAAAAAAATTAATCCGCCCGTTTTTTTTTTTTTTTTTTTTTTTTTTCTATTTCGATGTTTTAAATTTAAAAGATTTCGATGATGATGATGATGATAATAATAATATTATTATTATTATTATTAAGTGGATTAAATGTAGAAAAAAGAAAAATTTGGAGAAAAATTTAAAATAAAAAAAGGAAAGAAGCCGAGGATGATAGGAGAAAAGTGACAGTGGCAGAAAAAGGTGTTTTTTTTTTTAAATGACACCTACGATCAACCTGAGCGAGGAAGACAACGTGGCAGCAGACTTTGGCGCGTGCATAGGGGCGCCTGGCGTACCGGCATGCGTAATGAACGGTGCGTGACGTGCTCCAATGGACCGATTAATCGCGTTGGTGCTCTTGGGTGGCCGATGGCGCTATTCACTAACCTTTCAAATTGACGAGACACGAAAATTGTGACTCGTTTAATTTCTATCTCTCTCTCTCTCTCTCTCTTTCTCTTTCTCTGTCTCTCTCTTTCTCTCTTTTTTTTTTCTTTTTCTTTTGCGACACGAAGACTTTTCGATCATTTCGACTACATCTGGCATGCGTTTTTTTTTTTAATCTTTAAATTTCGTCAAAATTTTTTTTTAAATTTTCGACGCGAAAGAGAACCACCTAAAAAAAAAACAATAATAATAATAATAATAATAATTGAAAGCAGAAGTTTTCTTGATGGACTCGGCCTCAAGTTTAATTAAAAATTGACCTTTTAATTAAACAATCCATTTCTCTCTTTCTTTTCCTAATTAATTTAATTAAAAGGATCATTAATTATTAATTATATGAAGGAAAAGAGAGAGAGAGAGAGAGAAAGGGGAGGGGGAAAATGTGGCAATCACTCAAACTTTTCTTTCTTCTAGTAGTAAAAAAAACGCATTTATTATTATTATTATTATTTTTTCGAAAAAATTTAAAATGGTAACTTTATTGGTGGCACCAATAAAAAAAGAAAAAAATTTTTTTTTTTTAGACGCCATTAAAAATTGTTGAACGTCAATAAAAGTGAAAATAAAAAAAATATCGAAATGATTATTCAAAAAATAAAAATTACTCATAAGACATAACTTTACATTTCTATATAAAATAATAATAATAATAATAATAAATGGGAAGTTATTTAAATTTCCGATGGGGAGAAGGAGGAGGGGATGGGGGAAACATTAAATCTCCTGCCACGTACCGGATTAATAAATAAAATTAAGTGACCGGCTCGGTAATGCAAGTGACATCCACACATAAAGTCATACATAAAATTTTTTCTTTTTTTTCTAAAATAAAATCGTACTACTGATAATAATAATAATAATAATAATAATGATGATGATGATGTTGTTATTGTAAATAAAATAAAATAAAATAAAATCAATAATTAAAAGAAGAAAAATTTTATATAAAATCATTTGCATAAAAAAAAAAGTTGCTCTCTGTCTCTTTCTCTCTCTAGAAAGCTTAAAACGAATGAAAGAAATAAAAAAAGAAGGGGAAGAAGGGGTAGGAGGGGAAAACAGGTATCGATTAATGGTAACACGCCTTCGCGCCAAAGCAAACATATAAAAAGTAGTAAAACCTGAGAGAGAGAGAGAGAGAGAGAGAGAGAGAAACGCGCGTGCCACACGTCCGCCTTTATACTTTCCGGTAAATATGCTGCATTTTATTTCATCATTGTGGATTGCATAAGATGTTAAACTTAAGGCTGTCTGCTTGGGCTACCGGTTTGTGATGAGCGCTTTCATTCATTCATTCATTCACTCATTCATTGAATAAGAGAGGCGGTTTTTTTAAATCCTTGGCCTCGTTCTCTTCAACGACGGTTTTTTTTTTTTTTTTATTATCTCGAAATTATTCGTGGATTTTTGTTGCATTTTTTCTCAAACATAAAATACGTGATAGATTTGAATGAATGAATGAATGAATGAATGAATGACCGATGAGATTTTGTCTTATTTTTTTTTTTTTTTTGCCATTTTAAAGTTGATGTTAAATGTCATAAATATATGTGTGTGTGTATGTATCCCCCACGTGACCTTAAAAAACGGGCGTGCACTCAGGTTTTTTCTTTTTCCAAACAGACTTTGATACTTGAATGTTTTCTCTCACTCACTCAGTGATACACGTGCCGGTTCATTCATACCGAAAACGAAAAAAAAAAGTCACACGTGACGTTTATAAACTCTCGTGCCGTCTGTCATGATGAATTCTTCAAAACTAAAGACACAAGAGCACCTGGAACTGGAATAATAAATGAAAAAAAAAAAAAATCATTGAATGATAAACCATTTTGCCAGAGGGCATGAATGAGTTTGGCGTAGGTTGAATCAATTATTTTCTTACTGATATCTTATGAATGAAATTTTCAAAAAAACCTGAATTTTAATTAACTTCTCTGGAATTTCCCCCCCCCCCGTCTCTTTACATTAATTTATTATCATCATCATCATAATCGTCGCGGTATATAAATAAAAATTCAACCCGATAATTATTTACACGCTTACAAAAAAATTAATTATTTCAATCAAAAAAAAATTATTATTATTATTATTATTACTATCATTATTATTACTATTATTATTATTATTATTTATAATTCACGGATTGAATTGAATAAGGATTTGATAACGTTAAAATAAAAAAAAATTTTCTTTAAAAATTTTTCGTCTCTTATTCGTTAAAATTTAAGGAAAAATCGTTCCAGCGTAAGAAGATAAAAAAAAATATAAAGAGGTTCGTAGTGCTGGAGGGGGAGGGGAGGGAGGGGGAAGAGAGAGAGAGAAAACTACTTTATGTATATATAAAAATTGTGCAACAACCACAACCATGTATAGTAAAAGGCGATAAATTTTTTTTTTTTTTTTTGTATACGTTTACGGCTATCGAAGAATGTTTATAATCCTCTGGAATAATTTATAGACCTGAAAGTCCCCCAACATGGAGAGTCTCCTCACAAAATAATTCCATTAAATAAAATAAAAAAAAAAAAAATTTTTTTTTCTTCTTTTTTTAATCTCACTTAAATTATCATTATTATCATATGATTTTTTTCCTTTTTTTCATTTCATTTCTTCAGCTATTTAAAAAAAAATTTTTTTTCATATGCGAATTATTTCAATCTTACTTACTATTGATAATAATAATAAATAAATAAATAAAAACCTGGAAAAATTAATCGAAAAACCTGGAATAACGTTTTGGAGGAAAAAATTTTCAAATTTATTTAAATAAATAAATAAATAAAAAACTTAACAACAACAACAACATTGTCATAGATAAAAACAAAATTTATGTTTTTATTTAAAAATTATTTAATTGATTTAATAATTTATTGATACTTCTTTTCAATAGAGATTAATTGATGATAATAATAATATTATTATTTAAAACTGGAGAAGAGAGAGAGAGAGGGAAAAAAACTAAAATTCATCATCATCATTCTCATCATCATCATCATTTTCTCTATGTATTGAATGAAATAAATAATTTTTTTTATGTAATAAAAGTTTAAAAATAAAGAAGAATCGAGGGCATTAACTTTAACCATAAAAGGAAATAAATTAAAACGAGTTTTTCTTTTTTTTTTATTTTTCTTATTCGTAACAAAAATTAATTAATTAATTAATAAAGTTCGTTAATTTCAATTGAATCGCTGCTTGTTTGTGTATTTGCTAAACTTTAGGGGCGTGTATATCGTGTTATCATCATCATTATTATTAATATCACGTGATTTTACCAATAGGTACACGTAAATAATTAAACTGGAACAAAATAAAAATTTAAATTTGTTAATTTAATTGTGGGTGATGACGTCACAAATCATTCTCCATGAATTTTTCTACGTTTATTAAAATTAAAACCGAATAAAATTTTTATTCATTTAAACAAACGTGCGTGCACGTGCACACGCACACGCACGCGATTGATTTTCCATTATAACAAACCATAAATTTCAAATTTGTTTTTTTTTTTTCTCCAGTTCCGTGAAAAAAATTTTTTTGGACAATTAAGTTAATGGAAATTTTTAAGTGTGAAAAGTCGACCCCCCCCCTCCCAAAAAAAAAACTGCAAGCAATTTTTTTTATTCAACCCATAAATTTTAATTTTAACTTAAATTTAAATATTTTAAATATTTGTCACATTTCAAACCTTTTTTTATCATTTTTTTTTTTTTAAGGAATCCTCTCGGTTTATTATTATTATTATCATCATCATCATTATCATCATCACTAAAACCTTTTAAAATAAATTTTTTGTTTCTTAAACTTACATTAATCATTCTACCAAGATAAAAATCAAAAGAAAAAATTCTGGAACGATTTACTTTTCTTTTAAGATTCATCATCATCATCATCATCATCATCATCATCATCATCATCATCATTATTATCATTAGCTACTGTTAATCTTTAATTATAGACTTTTAAAATGGGGGGGGTAAGGGAGGGGTAATAACACTTCGAGACATTTTAATTTTTTTTATTTTTTGAAAGGTCGATTTTTTATTACGTGAAAAATTTTTCTGTGTGTACCTGCGTGCGTGCGTGCGCGCCTTCGGCAATCGGTTTTAATTACTTCAAAACCAATTATTTAATATGTCGGCCTCCGAGGTAATTTACGGAAAGGTAATATTATTATTATTATTATTTATGTTTTTAATATGGTAAAACCGTAATAAGATTTTTAATATAAATCAATAATGAGGGGTAAGGAGACGGGGAGGGGGGAAATGAAACGAAAATGCGTGTGCGTGTGCAACCTGAAACTTTCTGCATCATCGTAAACGTACCGAAAATCAAACATAATAATAATAATAAACATTAAAGACATTCGAGTGTTTGTTTTTATTTCAAATGAATCGACCTGGAATAAATGATGAGAAAAAAAAAAATTTCAAGGATCAGGTACGTTGAACTTGTCGTATTTACGAGTTGATATAAATAAATAAATAATAATAATAATTTAAATAAAAATCAAATTTATTTATTTTTTTTTAATCGAAGCCTTAATTAATAAGAAAAATTATTTTAAGAAGAGAAGAAAAGAAAAAGAAAAGCGAAAGAAAATAGAAAACTGTGCGCGAAGAAAAATTAAAAAAGAAAAAAAAAACCTCACTAATTCCTGGATAATAATAATAATAATAATAAAAGATTCGTCGTCATTTTTCAAATCAAAAAATTCATTATTAATTAATATTTTGTTTTAAATTGAATTCCAGCAGCTGGACCACAGAGTTTCGTATGTTTTGCGAGCCATTCATTGAGATGAAATTTACTTCTTACTTTAGGTACATCCAATTCGACGTTATCATTTTCTTGTTCGAATGCCAAGAAAATATATCTGTGAAGTCCAGAACCTTCAGGTGGGGCTGGCCCGTAATAAGCTGGAAAAACAAAAAAACATTTTTATCTCTTTTTACAATTTAAGAAAAACGTTTTGAGATGATTTTTAAAAAAAAATAATAATTACGTAACGAATGTTTGGCTTTAGTTAAATCTCCTTTGGCTAAATCATCCCCTTTTACGTTTGATACCAACCAATGGAGCCAATATTGTCCTTTTTCGTAACCTGGAGGATCGGGATCAACGCACATAACGGTGTAACTTTTATCCTTAAATTTATTATTATTATTTTAAAAAATTTACTTTTTATTCTTTATATTTAATTTTATTATTATTATTTATAACTCACGTGTTTTGCATCGACAAAATTAACTTTAGGTTCTGCTTGCCATTCGCTTTTAACATATTCGCTCCCACAATTTTCCTTATCGACTTTCAAATGATTCGTACCTGAGACCAAAGTCATGAAATTATCATAATGACAAGATGAATCCGATAGTCCTTTGCATGTTTCACCGGCAAAAACCGACATGAAACACATTTGTGACATTGCAATCATAATCATTACATTCATCATGTTCATCATGTTCATCATGCTCATTATGTTCATGTTGCTCATCATGTTCATATTGCTCATCATACTCATCGCGTTCATCATACTCATGATCTTCATGATTTTTTCTATAAAAAAAAAAAACAAAAAACAAAAGTGAAATTCACATTAACCAAAAAAAACACCAATAAAACTTATAACAACAACAACAAAAAATTAATAATTACATTTTTTAATAACGAATAACAGAACAAAATCTTGAAACTGAATGATCACTAATGGCCGAAAAACCAACTATTTAAAGGAAAAGAAAAATCTTGTGATGTCTTGCAAATACAGTAAAGTCGTCAAGGTTAAAACATTTTATTATGTAAATAATCCATAATTATTTATTATTATTGATAATAATAATAATAATAATAATAATAATAATAAATAATCAACTGATAAAAAAAAATCACAAATAAACTACTTAATTAATAATAATTGTATTTATTTTTGTTATTTCAAATAATAAAATTATTATTATTATTATTGTCTCTTAATCGAAAAATAATAATAACAATTAGTTATAATTGTTTATTTATTTATTTTGGGGGGTCGTTCAAAATAACGAAATAAATTGTATCATTTAAATTTATTGCAAAATTTTTTTTTATTATTATTATTATTTGAAGATGATGTAAAAAGGAAAATTTCGGTGGAAAAACATTTACATAATCGGTTTATTTTTTTATTATCCGTTTTAATATTTATCTGTATTTTTTTTTTTTAAACTTAATTACTTTTATCGAAAAAATAATAATTACTTAATTATCAAACGGAAAACTTTGATTATATTTTTGAAATCGAATTTTGCAATTGAGTTACGGAAGTGGGAAGAAGAAAAACCGTTACGATCAAAACAATTTTTAAATATTATTGTACCGAAAATCGATTTCGGATTGTTTATTTAAAATGTTCATTTATTTATTTTACTCTCTTTTTGCAATAAATAAATATATTTTGATGAGAAACATATTTTCGTAATCGATATAAATATAAATTAATAATATTTACAATAAAAATATTGTTATTTAATGGCGGAAACTAAAAAAATTAATTTGGCAACACTGCACTGCTGCCACGTTTTTTAAATATGGAGTATTAGAAAAACGTTTAATGTGACTTATTGAAACAATAGAACTATTTAAATAAAAAAAAATTAAAACCTTAATTGATTTATTAGTTTGGTAATGAAATTTTAATACAATAAATAATTTTGTTTAAAATGTTAATGTAAATATAAGAAAATCATGACTGTGCATGTTCAATATTAAATTAAATAAATTGAATGGATCATTGGTTAGAATCACCTTTAAACAAGGTTAAATTAAGTTTAATTAATTTATTATTATTAATCATTATTTGATTTTTAACATTATTTACAAAAAGTTAATTGCCATTTTTAGGCTCATTTCTATGATAGAAGAGCTAATGCATTACTTAAAAAATACTGTTTCGATGAAGCTATTGATTACCATTTATCTGCTGCTAAATTTTTGACAGAATCTCTTAAAGCAACTGATAATGAGAAAGCTAAACAATCTATACAATTACAAAAGGAGTATCATTTAAAACAAAAAGATGTTTTAAGGTTAGAATGTCTTCAACACCTTTTTTTTTTAGATTTTAATATACAAATGTTTTTTTTAAAGAATTTTTTGAAAAATATTAACAATTTCTTAAATTCGTTTATTATATTTGAGAAAAGGAAATCGTTTTATGATGACAGGTTAACATGTAAACAAATCAAGCTAAATTTATGTAATTTTCTTTAAATAATTTACTCGTAATTTAGTGAAACAATTACATATTGTATATTTCATAACAGATTATTATTATTATAACAAACCTTTAGTAAAAATTTTATGATAAATATAAAAATTTTCATTAAGATTAAATAAAAGAATATGAAACGAAAGTTAAGCATAGAAATATACTGTAGCTTTTCTTTGTGTTGAAATAACATATTTATAATGGTTTGTTTAAGCGACAAGTCGTATATTTTTAATGAAAGTGTTATAAATTCTTTATCGTAATTAATTTTACAACAGCGAATTGTATTTGATGAATTAAAAAAATGATATTTTTTATTTTACAGAGTGAAAAAAATTCAGTATCAATCTTTAAAAGAAGTACTCAGGGTTCATAAAGAGGCAATATCTAGAATGATGAAAGCGAGAAATGGTAAAAATGACGATTCTGAAAGTGAGGAAAATTCATTACAAAAAGTTATTTACAGGTAATTTTTGATAATTTTTTTTATTTGTGTCACAGTTTATTGTGTAATAAAATTTTCAAAATCATTTACTTTTAATGGTTTAAGAGTCGATAAAAAAACTCAAATTATTTCATGCAATTTATGTTAATTTTATTTAATGAATTTGTCCTTTTTATGAATGTAATGTCAAGGTTACAGCTAATTTTTCTTTTATTATTTTGCATCAGTGAGTTCTTTTTTTTTTTTTATTCGGCTTAATTGTAACTCATTTTTCTTTTTGTTTATTGTAATAATATTTACATTTAAACATCTGGAAAACTTTATTATTAATGTCCAGAAGGCATTATAATCTTCCAGGCTGTATGTTTATCATTGGAAGAGTTGATGTTAAATTTTTATTTGTTGCAGAACAATCGAAGAGGCTGATTCTTTGCTAGACATTCTGGTTCATAAAGAGGATGCCAATCATTCTGATAAGGAATTAACGAGTAACGGTTCAAGTGGCGATGCCGCATATTCAGTCGGAACCGTTCATCCTAAAGATGACAAAACGGTGATAGAAGAATTAAAAATAGTCAATTATCAACTCAGGTATGACAAAAAAAAATTTCAAACGTTGATTTCCGTTATAAAAATAAGGGAAAGTCATAAAGTGTT